GCATGTTTATACATATGTTGCCTTCATTCTTTTCTAGACATTTACTTTCTATTGAGCCCTTGGTATCAGCTCCTCTTTTTATCCTTCCCTCCTCCCCCTACCCTCACGGCCCCTTGATAGATTGTAAATTATTATTTTCATATCTCACACCAACGCTGTCTCCCTTCCCCCCATGTTTTCTGTTGTTCTTCCCCCTGGAGAGGGGCGTATCATTGCGATTGGTTCCCCACTTCTCCTTTCCTCTCCCTCCCTTCCCCTTCCCCTTCTGATATCACCACTCCCCCTCCTGTTCTTTTATTCCGTGTGTCGTGAGCTCCCATCTCTTATCTTTCTTTACCTGTGTACATTCTCTGGTCAAGTCTGAATTGAGAAGCAGCACTGGGGTCATGATGGTGGGGGGTGAGAGAGCCTCAAGGGGCCAGAGGAATATTGAACTACTAGTATTTTTTAAAACTATCAACAGAGTAAGTTAGGGATGGTAACCCTATCATGGGTTTTGAAAGTAAATGATTACATTTTACATTTGGATTCAAGATACATACCTTTAATAATAATATAGATTATTTATACATAATTTTAATATAATTCTGTTCTGGTTATTACTCAAATCTGTGCACTTTAGGGAAAAATTTAAAGTGCACAAGGCTATCATAATAAAAGGGCAATCAGATATGAAACAGTATTGAGCACACAGTTATGATGTAGCTTTTTAAACACAAGGCCTAAATACTACTGGAACATCTTGAGCGTGAGAAAATCTGCTTTTACAATTCTCTCTCTGGAACTTTGACTCTGTAGAAACTTTTGAATGTCTCAAAGTAAACAATTCCATGAATTCTTCAGTTGGTTCCTTGAGGGCAGGGAAATACTTTTCTGTTTGCTCATGAAGTCCATAATGATTCACTGCTTTAGGCAAAAGCAGTTCTCCCCATGTATTCATTACTATTCCCAGTGTAATAGTGAAAATGACTGCCACTGACTTCACCTACTGGGGTAGGAGAAATAGCCTTCTCACCGGCACGGTCTAAACTGTGATGGTAAATACCATAGTAAGCGCTCTCCCCATCCAAGTGAACTAGGAATCTTTCATGGCAAGTTCAGGTATCACAATGTGTTAAGCATGAGAGATTTCCCTTCCTGCTCTCATAAGCATATAGATGCAGCCAGCTATGTACTGTAAATATTGACATACATTTAAAATTCTCATTTGGGATAAAAATCTGAAAGCTGGTTACCTGCTCAGATTGAAGGATAGTTTTAGAATGCCTTGTTGAGAGAGTAAAGTTCAGTAGTGAAGTAAAGAGGCAAATGAAAGAAATGTGGACTTAGAACAAAAATCTAAAGTTATAGAATTTTTAGAGCTGAAAAGAATCTCAACCATCATCATCAGTTAAGTCTTTGGATAATTGAGGAGATGTGATATGGAAAAAGGAGCACACTGGTTCTGGATAGGTGTCCTCAAAGGTAGCGTAAGAACTCAAGGATGAGAACTCCTTGGGGAGAGCTTTGGACTTCATTGTAAAGAGAAATCTAGTGGTCAGGGCTATTAGAAACGGAGTAGGCATTCTCAAGAGAGACATCAAATTGGGGGCTGAGCCTTATATATGCATTTGAATCCAGGGGTTTTTGTGAAGCCTTCTAGTCCTGAAATTAGTATATAAACCAATCCTTTATCTAGTTTTTTAACCAATAGCTATGACTAAATAGATAATGTGATATTAAATCTGAAATACACTAAGAAAGTTTCAGTCAGGATAGCAGCAAACTATCCGAAAACCTCACTTGCTCCTCGCTCCTTCCGTCCCCCCTTCCTTCCTTCCATTCTTTCTTCATTTCTTTTCTCTTCTCACTTATGCCCTGTATAGGGGGGATTAGCAGAGGCCTAGGCTCCTTGTGGTCACTTACCAGCAGCCTGACAGAAACTCCATCTTAATAAATGTTTCCTTGATTGCTACATTACAGGGAAGAAGACATAAAGAACTACCTAGGAACTCAACGCTTCTGCCCAAAAGAATCACTTGCAACCCACTTTCATCGAGCAAACAAGTTAGATGGGCCAGGCCTAATCTCGGCAGTAAGGAAGTGAGTAGCCGAAATGACACAGTAAACTTGAGCAAGTTACTTAGCCATTTTGCCAGTTGGTTTGCTGACTATAAAGTAGGGGCTAATGATGGCCTTGGTGGCATATTGGGTGTCATTGTTTGCTAATATCATGGTCAGCAATTCAGAGTCACCAGCCATTCCTCAGGAAAAAGAAGAGGCTTTCTATGCCTTTAAAGAGTGTGTTAATCGGGGTAGGCTAGAGAAACAAATCCATAGACATTCGTATTTGTATAAGAGAGAGTTTTATATAAAGGGTCATTGTACATTAAGAAAACATTCCAAACCAGTCCATATCAAGTCCATAAGTCTTATATTGGCCCATATATCCGATACCAATCTATAAAGTCCTTTTCAGACTCAAAAAACACATGCAATGATGCCGAATGCAGGACAATCACAGCCCAGTGGATAGAAAGTCTTTGGATGCAGTGGCATTGTAAGCTTCTCAGCGCTGGCAGGGGTTTCTATGTGGCTTCTCCAGCTTCAGAGGTCTGGTTACATCAGGGTAGTTCCATGCGGCTTCTCCAGCTCAAGGCACTAGTGTAGTTCCATGTGTCTTGTCAGCTGCAGTATCTCCCAAGGAGTCAACCGAGAGAAAAGTGTGCCGCCTCCAAGCCAGACAAACCAGTTTTCCCCAGAATCCTCAGGGGAAAGCCAGGCCCACAGAGGCCTCATTGGCTGTGACCTGATTGATAGACTAGACACCACCCCTTCACTCTTAATCCTCTCAAGTCCCAAATTGACACCAGTTTCAGAAGCCTACAGGAGTAGTTCTACTCTGTCCTGTCAGCTTTCTATGAGTAAGAATTGCCTCAGTGGCAGTGAGTTTGAGTGCATTAATGGTATGTATCTACTTCATTTGGTGGTTGTGAAAGTTAAGTGGGATCATATTTATAAAACTCTTATGATAGTGCCTAACCAGTGGCAGTCATGGTGTTTCTAATGCTGACCTCCGGGTGTCAGAGTAGAATTGTGCTCTGTAGGATTTTCAGTGGTTCATTTATTGAAAGTGGTTTGACAGACCTTCTTCCAAGGTGCCATTAAGTGGATTTGAAATTCCAACTTTTCCACTAACCCTGAAAGATTTTGAAGGTAATACCTAACTACTTAGTAAAAATGCAACAAAAGTTTGCTGCTATTGTTGCTTTCATTATTTTTGTTAAGCCTCTGTTGTGGGTTGAAGTGTCTCAAAAGAAAAAAAAATCATGTCCACCTAGAACAGTGGTCCTCAACTTTCCTAATGCCATGACCCTTTAATACAGTTCCTCATGTTGTGGTGACCCTCCACCATTACATTATTTTTGTTGCTACTTCATTAATATAATTTTGCTACTGTTATGAATTGGGCTATGCCTGTGAAAAGGTCGCGACCCACAGGTTGAGAACCGCTGACCTAGAACCTCAAAATGTGACCTTGCTTAGAAATAGGGTCTTTACCGATAGAATTAGTTAAGATGAGGTAAGAGTGGGTTATAGTGTGGGCCCTAAATCCAGTGATGATTATTCTTGCAAGTATAAAATGGACACACAGGGAAGAAGGCCAGGTGAAGATGAAATCCGAGGCTGAAGTGATACATAACTATAAGCCAAGAAACACCAAAGATTGCCAGGAGCCCTTTGTTTGGGCATGACCCTGATTGACAGCAGATTTCACACTTTTTAGGCTCCAGAACTGTGAAAAGATACATTTCTATTGTTTTGAACCACTCTGTTGGTAATTTTTACCAACATTGGAAACTAGTGGAGGCTCTTATTAGGTGAAGGGTGCTATACTACCTACTTTATGGGGATGGATTTCTCAAACACCTTCTAAAGTATGTTATTATCCTCATTTACAGATGAGATGACTCAGAGTCAAGGATGTTAAACAACTTGCCCAAGGTTCCAAGCTAATAAATAATACGTGGGATTTAAACCTAGGAAGCCTGACCTAAACTACCTCCTGCCAGATAGCAAATAAATATTAACAGAAAATTTCAGGAATGTACACTTTCTTAGACTACCTTATACTTGTTTGTGCCTACAAAAAGAGTTTATCTTGGATTTTGTATGTATTTCTCTATTTCGGTAGTTTGAACAGTGGATTTTCTTCCTTTGATTAAATTTAAATGTACTATTTCACTGTGTTCTATTGCCCTCTGAGGCCTACACAAATTTAACAGATGAGGAAAGTTGGAGCCCCAGTGGTTGGATGATCCCAGAAGACCCAGCTCAGTGGGAGCATAGTCAGCCAGCTTCCTAAGTGTAGTTCACAGCCCTTTCAACTGACTTGGGCAGCCTCCCTTGTGCTTAATGTGGCACATAATCCTTTACTCAAACTGTGAGGTCCTTCAGGGGTTTTCCTCCAAATTTTTCAATGAATTTGTTGTCAACACCACACTAGACTTTTTTCCTTGTAGCTCATGTTATGAGTCATTGTTGACTCTGGCAGTGAGTTTGGTTTTGGTTCTGAGTTACAATTTACCCATTTTGTCTCTTACTCTTTTTTAAACACCACATAGGTAGGTTAAGAGCCTTTGTAATAAGAATAAATAGTGCCAGAGAATATACCTTTGTGAGAAAAACCATACTGATGACCTTGAGAATACCAATAACTTCCGGGGAGGGAGTGGGGAAGAAATGGGGAGCTGATCTCAAGGGCTCAAGTGGGAAGAGGATGCTTTGAAAATGATGATGGCAGCATATGTGCAAATGTACTTGACACACCGGGTGAATGTATGGATTATGATAAGAGGTGTAAGAGCCCCCAATTAATGTGTGGTTGTTGTTTTTTTTAAATGAATTTGCAGACCTATCAGACAAGTTTCCATAGTTCCTCTAGTAAATTGCAAGAACAGTGTAATCATAAAATATAGAAATTACTATATTTTGTCATTGGACTCTGATGTAATAATGAAAGCAATACTGTGCTTCAATATTGAAAATAATTGAAATTAAAATTTACTTCCAAAAAATGAAAAAAATACCAATAACTTTACTTTTACATTTAAACTAAATTTGGAGTCAAATTTCCACAGGCAAAGAGTTGGTAGTGGAATTAATGAAGAGCCAGGTATAAAAGGGGACTTTAAAAAGTTTGTGGGAAAATCCCTTTATCTTTCATTCTGATTTTCCATGAACTTTTTCATTTTTCAAAATATTTATTAAAAATATAAGCTGCCTTGTTATTACTCAAAATTTAATATGAAAAAATGTTAACACTTTTTATCTTTTTCCAAAAAAGGTATGTTCTGCTTCTTTACAATCTGTACTGATAGTGCATTTTGGTGGCATAGAAAATAACTCCAAAACATTCCATACAGGACATTGGGCCTCCACTCAAGTACTCCCTCAATGCAAGAACACTTTGTTCCATTAAACTGGCATTCCATGATGCTCACTTCCCCTTCCCGACACAATCCCTGAAGCCAAAGCTGATGCATAAGAAAATGTGGTGAAAAAGCTGATGGTGCCCGGCTATCGAAAGATATAGTGTCTGGGATCTTAAAGACTTGAAGGTAAAAAAGCAGCCATCTAGCTCAGAGGCAACAAAGTCCACATGGAAGAAGCACACCAGCCTGTGTGATCACGAGGTGTCGAAGGGATGAGGTATCAGGCATCA